CGGTCTATGAACGCTTAAGCGAAAAAGCGTCGTTTTGGCGCGAATCTTTCATTTGTGTGGCGTAAGCTTGAAGAAAAGCTTCATTTAACCCCTAAAATGCTCTCTCTTAAAAATATACATGCTTGGTACAAATAAGAGACTTAAAAAAAAACAAGTTACATTCAACATATACTAACTTGAAGCTTCATTGACATTGATAACCATGGAACCATCTCCATTGTCAGGTATCTTTTTTCATTTTAACATTTACGTCTTTTGCATTTGCTATATCCTAAATTTTCCATAATGTGAGATGTTTAACATGGGATTTTTTGTTTATGTTTTTGGTAGAAGACATAACTAAAAACATTGTGGACTGGAAGCCAAAAGTTGGATTAGAGTTTGATAATGTAGAACAAGCATGGAATTTTTGGACTGAATATGGTAGGAGGATCGGATTTGGAGTTAGAAAGTAGTATTTTAATAAGAGAAAGGAAGATGGTGCTATTACTTCTTGCAGATACGTTTGTTGTAAAGAAGGTCTTCGAAAAGGGAAGAAACAAGATTGTCAAGTTGCTAAACATAGAGCTGAGACAAGAACAAATTGTTCTGCCAGAATTGCAGTATCTTTGGGGAAAAATGAGAAGTTTATAATTCATGAGTTTGTAGAAGATCATAATCATCCCTTACAACTTGAGGAGACAGCTCACATGCTTGCTTCTCATCGTAAGATAAGTGAAGTTCAAGCTTATGAGATTGAAATGGCTCAAGAATCTGGTTTGCAACAAAAATCCTCATTTCAACTCCAAAGTACACTTGCAGGCAATAGATGCAATATCGGATATACTCGGTTGGATGCAAAAAATTACTTGAAGGAAAGAAGACAAAGAAGTATGGTTTATGGAGAAGTTGGTTGTGTGATGGAATATTTTCAGCAACAGTTGTTAGATTGTCCTTCATTTTTTCATGCATATCAGATAGATTGTGATGAACAAATTACAAATGTATTTTGGGCTGACGCGAAGATGATTTTAGATTATGCATATTTTGGTGATGTAGTTTCTTTGGACACTACATATTGCACTAATCGTGCAAATAGACCTCTTGCCTTGTTCACAGGTTTTAACCATTATAGAACCACCATCATTTATGTTGCAGCTTTGTTATATGATGAAACGGCTGATTCGTTTAAATGGTTGTTTGAAACATTTATAGAAGCACATAATCACAAAAACCTATAACAATGTTTACTGACCAAGATCAAGCCATGGCTAAGGCCCTTGTAGAAATCATGCCAGAGACACATCATTCTTTGTGCACGTGGCATTTAATGCAAAATGGGATCAAACACCTTGGTAATTTGATGAAGGGTGGGAGTCATTTTTTAAGAGACTTCAAAAAATGCATGTATGACTTTGATACCTTCACTGACTTTGAGAAAGCTTGGACTAAGATTGTTCAAGAGTACAATGTCCATGACAACAATTGGATAAACTCACTTTATGCCATAAAAGAAAAATGAGCATCATGTTATATGAAAGAAGTTATCACCCTAGGGATGCGGAGTACTCAACTCTCTGAAAGTTTAAATTCTGATTTCAAAGCTTCTATGAAACCTGGTGTTAGCATTAAACAATTCTTCCAAAGTTTTGAACGTATAGTTGAAGCGAAGCGTTACAATGAACTAATTTGTGAGTATGAATCCCGACATAAGCTACCAATGTTGAGATATGAGATGTCTCCCATCTTGATACAAATGGGAAAAATTTACACTTATCCTATATTCACCCTTTTCCAACAAGAATTTACTTCATTCTTAACATGTTGCATTTCAGAGAGGATTGAATCTCCTCCTATATTTGAATATGTCATCACTACAGTCAATCAAGAGAAATCATGCAGAGTATCATTTGATAATGTCTCAAAATCAATTTCTTGCACCTATAAAAAATTTGAAACATTTGGTATGCTTTGTTCCCATGCATTGAAGGTATTTGAAGCAAATGATGTCAAGGCTATTCCTGAAAAATATATCCTTAAGAGATGGACAAAGGAAGGTCGTTCCGGCATTATAAACAATTTCATACGAAGAGAGATTGAGGGGGATCCAAAAGTTGCTACCACACAACGATACAGACAACTTGCTTCTAAAATGATTAGACTTGCATCAGAGGTATCTAGTTCAGAGGAATACTCGACATTAGTGGATGAATGTTTAAATGCTGTGTGTCGTCAAATCTCACACCTTCGATTACAAACACAACATGTTGACAGTGACACTGACAATCATGCATCTAAGTCGATGATCAATGATGGTACAATCCCAAAAGGTTTCAAGCACCGACCAAGCTTAAAGAGGAATACATATAAACGACTCAAAAGTTGGGTTAAACTACAAGGAAAAAGGAAAAGAAATAGGATAACGAGAGGTCAATTACAAAACCAACATACTAAGGTACATATATCAATCAATTTGCTAATGCATTACTTTCAATTTTGATTCCTTATTAACCATATGGTGTTTATTTGATAAATATTTTAGGAATATCAACCCAGTCCTCCTTCTGAACCTTGTGATATACATTGTTCAACACCTCCATCTTATCATCCTCCTCAAACTTTGAACAATCAATTCAATTTCACTACATTATTGACCGTAAGTTCATTAAATTTCAAAATGAAAATTTAGTGCTTTAGTTCATCGTTGTATAATTTTGTTTGATAGATTTATGTTTTTTTTTCAGGACCCTTTGGATGACACAACTTGTTCAATCCTTGATTAATAATTAAAAGTTGTTGTATCTTAATCATTTTATTTTCTTTTGCCAAAAACAATTATGTAAAGGACAAATGTATTTTGTTTTCAGAAATAGTATATCCATGTCTGTCAATTTAAGCTGTTGTATTTCAATTTTCCTGCATTTTTGCTTAAGCCCCCCAATAATCGCTTAAGCCCACAAATTTCGCTTAAGCTATATAGTTCTCGCTTAAGCTAGTATTGGTTCGCTTAAGCCAATATGTTATAACTTAAGCCAGTTTATCAGTCCAAAAGAGCATTCTCTCTGCATTCTTTTTATGTAATTTTAGCTTAAGCTAAAGCATATCCGCTTAAGCTATTGGTTTCTCCGCTTAAGCCAAGTCATGAAGGCTTAAGCGAATGTGTGATCCTGGGAGGTGTGCTCTCTGTTTTTTTAGGCTTAAGCCATTAAGGTTTCGCTTAAGCCCATCATATACGCGCTTAAGCCTTATAAATATGCGCTTAAGCTCACAACTCATCAGCTTAAGCTAAATCAAGCACGCTTAAGCCATTTTGTAATCCTCTCTGTTATTTTTCGCTTAAGCGAGTATATTTTAGCTCAAGCGCATCACCCATTCGCTTTAGTTCAATGTATCGCTCCATGCTTGTGGTATTGGCTTAAGCCTTCGTTCGCTTAAGCTAGCCTATACAGGCTTAAGCTAAAATTGTCAAATTCGCTTAAGCCGTGTCAAAATGGCTTAAGCGAATGAAGAACTGCACGTGCAGATCCCGCGTTAACTGCACTGGATCCGTATCCAAATATATCACACGAAAATATGTTCTAACACTGGAAGATAATGATTTACTATGTTTAAATGCATAAATTTAGAGTAAAAATTAAGGAATATAACGTTAATTTGACGAGAAAATTTCATAAGAAAATAATGTTACTTTTGTGAAAAACAAATTATTCATAGATAAAAGAAATTTTGACGAGAATGCTAATAATAAAATTATAAAATTTTCTTAACAAGAACTCAAAATTGAATACTTTTTATATATAATAAGTTAAGTAACTTTTAGACTTCAAATTAAATTAATTTGAACAATTTGAAATATATGAATATAATTTTTATTCAATATTAATAAAATAATTAAAGCCCATTAAATTTACTTAGTTATGATTGTTTGGCACGGTTGAAATAGATGTGAGACCCAATCTCATTTTTAGGGAGAAGGTAATATATTTGTAAATTAAAACTGTAAAAGAAATAAAGAATAAGAATTTCAATCATAATAAAAATAGATATTATATCACAATAATATTAAGCAATAAAAGACTAATATTTAACGTAAAAAATCTCTAATGCTAAAGAAAAAAATTACAAGATAAACTCTAAAAAGTATTTTACTGTATATAAGAAATAACTGATAATAATATTTTTTTTACTCACTCTTTATAAAAAAATATAAAATATAGTATTTTTTATTGAAATTCATTATAGTCAAATACTATAAAGTTTACAATATCATGAAGTTATATAAATGATACTTAAAACTTGATGCATTTCTTTCTCAAGATTTATTCACACTCTACTCGTCTCTCACTACATGAAATTTTAATTGGACTTCTCTTAAAAAAAAAAGAAGTTTTATTTGCTTCTACTTGATGATATCCTTCATCTGATATTGCCTTTATTTATAGAGGAAACAATGCAATGTAAACTCATCAAAACAATGCAGCACCGTAATTACACGTAAGCATACAAGTCTTGCACCTCTCCTACATTTTGTGGGTGAGGAACTGTAAAATTTCACACTTAATCCATAGTGAAAATTTTGCCTTGGCTAGACTAGCATGCATTTTGTAAAGAAAAATGATGTTTATAATTATATACTAATTAGATGTATATATCTAATAAAAGATTAGAAGAAAAAAATAGAAAATATAATAAAATAATGTTAAAAAATATTTTCTTCTTAGCATTCCTTTTTATGTAATGGACATGTGTATAAGAAGGAACAGCAAATTGTATATTTGTCAATTTCCAATTGATCGAGTAACCTGACAATGGAGACACACATAAAACCATGCACTCAAATTTTGCTTTAGTCAAGCTTTAATTTGCCTACTAAAAATAATAATATACATATATAAAACATCAATTACACTAAGTCACAACCTTCGACGAAAAGAAAATATTGACAGTTGTTCTCTCTCAACCATAAAACGAAAAGAAGGTTCCAATATACTTCCAAAACTCACAAACACACGTATGAGAAAATGTCTTTGGCGTGGCTAGCTTTCCCTATGAACCATGCCTTTGTGTTTTCATACCACACCGTCCTTATAGATGTAGTCAGCGCACTAGTTTATCTCAATGCCCTTTTTGTTCACTCAGAAAAAGACATCAAAGGATCGCAACACCCTACTGTCCCTCCATTCGAATCAAAGGTACATGCGTTTTGCTCTACCGCTAATTATATTAAAATCAACCTAAGTGGTTCATTACATGTGCACATAATCATTAATTTAAAAAGCATTAGTTTGATGCCGTAATAAAATATGCATAAGCATGTTCTACATTCTATGAACACCCAAAAGAATATACTTTTCAGTGCAACTCCATTAATTTGAGTGAGGTTTTGTACAAGAAAAAGAGTAACGCGACATAGAATGACACGTTTTCATAGCTAGCCCGGACCTTTTGGCAGTGATCCGATACCATGCTGGCACGTAAGCACAAATAGGTTTAAATTGGAGCCCTATGCATTCATCATTGTTGTTTAATGCTTTTCAAATTGCCATTTACATGGTATTAATGCTATATTCGAGGGCCACATAACATATTTTATCCCCTTTGGTTGGATTCTACTATATATTGCATCGATCAAACTCACGTTTCTTGCATAGGTATCCTAATAATAATGTCTCCCAACAAAAGAAAATTATTGATATCATTAGGTGATAAACATAAATAACTCTACTTTAATTAATTGAAAACGAACTTTGCTGGTAGTAGCAGCACAAAAATGCAATAAAAGAGGATTCCGAGGAAAGCTTAAAATAAGCAATGGTATTCCTCAGAAAGAGAAACGAAGATTATGAAACAATAAACAATAAAAAGTTAAATCAGAGTGGATGAATAATAAAGTGACAGTATATCGTTTTTTAATGTTGAAGTTTTAAAAAAATCATCATGAGTTAACTAAAGCGATTTTTAAAAACATAATTAGTATATTAAATTGAATCTAATAAACACATAAGTGTATACATTCAAGTAGTAACTAAATTGATGAATTACTTGAGGGGCTTTTGATATTATTTCACCAATGAAAGTACTTGCGGAGAGAAAGGGTTTCTATATGGCAAGCTAGTCTGATCACATTTAAAGAATACAAAGATATCTTAGGTGGAAACAAAAACTCATAAATATTAGTTATCTTAAGTTCTTTGCTGCAAATTTTATATTCTCTTTGACTTAATTATTCTCCCTCTCAAGTTTAGACCTCCCTTAAAAACATCCCGATATTAAAGGAAAAAGCCCAGCAAAAAATGAAAAAGATGTTCATAGTGAAAAACGATAAAGAGTACAAGTAAAGTGAATCAATGGAAAATAAAGTAACGATCTCGCCTTGGGGATTTCCTTAAAGTAAAATTATAAACAGAAGAAATTGCGAAGCTTTTAACTATCTTGTATTGGTCTAATGAAAATGACTCGAGACACTTCAACATATAATGCGATTTCAATAAAATGAATATTGATAGAAGAGGCATCACAATATACATATATATAAGGTTTCATCGGTAGGGTGGGGGAAATGATCAGCAATAGTATATGTGACAAAGAGAAAGAATGTGAAATAATAAATAATGGAAAAGGTTAAATTAAAGCGGATGATGAATAATAATAAAGTCAGGAAGCATCGAAAATTTTAACGTAAAATAAAATAAAAAGAGAACAAATCATGACACTTTTAAAAAAGAATAAATTTAGCTCACTATCATGTGTGTGTGTTTCCACTGTTTGAAATAATAATTGACGGTCTAGCTACACCAAAAGAGGTAACCTAACGTTTCGTGGAAATGATCATTTTACACAGTCGTTGGGAGTAATGGGCATTGGGAAAAAAATAAAAGAGAGAGAGAGAGAGATTAAGTAAAAAGAATATAATAAAAATAAAAATAAAAAATTAGTAAAATTTAAATATTAAAAAATACATATAAAAATATAATATTTTCATTTTTTACATTTATTGTAAAAAATGAAATTTTGTACATGAATTAAGAAAATATTTAATATTTTAAATTTTATACAAATTATTATTAAAATCCTTATCGTATTATATAAATTGATACCTCACTTATTTATTATCCTATGTCAAATACACATTAATTATTAAGAATCAAATTATTATAAAATTATTCATTAATTTATAAAATAATAATGCAAATTAAATTAATAACGTAGTATAGAAAAAAAAAAGCATCACTTTTGCAATTAAACTATTCAACAATCAATCACTTATTTAATATTAATTCCAGTCACAAAACATTCACTTAAAGAAATTTAAGTAAGTTTTTATTAAATTTAATTTATTTTATAATTTTTAAAAACTTTAAATTTTATCAATTTAATGAGTAGATTAAAAATAATTATCATTTGATTAAGTTTTCATTCTATAAATAGTACTCTTTTAAAAATATAAATAAATGCTAAGTGTTAATATATATATATATAATTATTAAGATGTCTTAATATAACACATTTATTATGAAAATATTATAAAATGTAAAAATTATAAATTTAAACCATAGAATTAAATATAAATAATTGATATTAAAAATTAATTAGTGACTATATAATTATGCAATTTTTGCATATATTTTTAAAAATTAAAAATTTAACAGTATTTATTTATTTTTTACAATAATAAAATAGTTTTACTTGAGAAAATTTTTATATACATACAAGATGTTGAAAATCAAACCAAACTATTTTCGAAAAGTTAAATCAAATTGAAAAAACTAACAATTAATCAAATAAAAAAATTTAATAAGATACATTTTATAGGATTTAGATTTTTGGCTTTTTTATTTAAATATTACAAATTTAAAAATAAATTCTTAAATTATTGATTTTTTTAATACTATTTTTTGAAGTTAGTTGACGTGACATAATATTTTACTAAAATAGTTGATGAAAATAATAATTTTTTAAAAAATTATAAATTTTATTATCAGAAGTACAAAATAATCAAATCGTAGTACATATTAACATTTAGATAATTTTATAATATTTATGACAAAATTAAATGTCATAAAAAATAAAAAAACTCGTAAATTGTAACATTTGTTACGATTGTAGTAAGTTTCACAATAAAAATTACATATGTCATGATTTTTATTCATTACACGAATTAAATATAAATTTTTTTAATTTATTATAAAATTATAACCACGTCATAATAAAATAAAATAAATTAAAATTATACCTAAAAATAATTTTTTTATTTACATATTAATTTAAATTACATCTTAATTAAAAAAAATAAAATTATTAACATAAATAAGTATAATATTTTTTATCATTAGATACTAATTATAATTATATTAAAATTAAAAAATAAATTATTAACATAATATCAGAAAATATTTTTTATATTTACATAAAAATTATTAATGTGATTATAATACATAATTTATTTTTATTAATTTTAATAATATAATTAAACAAAATTTAATTTAAATTTATATACATAACATGACCACATTTAAAATAAAAGTTAAACTACTAATATAATATTAAAAATATTTTTTATTTACATACAAATTAAATTATATATTAATTAAAAAAATAAAATTACTAACATAATTAAGTATAATATTTTTTATTATTAGATATTAATTATAAATTACATTGAAATTAAAAAAAAGTAAAATCAGTAACGTAATACTAGAAAACATAAGATAGTGTAATATAAATGTATTAATAATTTAACCTAATAATATTAGATTTAATTTATTATACTGTTTTATAGAGATAATAGAAGAGATTACAACAATAAAGGTGAGATAAGATTAAGGATTATAATTTATATATATGATTAAAAATTTAGTTTTGAATATTATAAATTTAGAGATTGAAATTATAATTCGTATTCCGAAAAATGTTTGTACCATCCTAGTTAAAATTTCAAGGTCCAATTTAACGTCCAATTTTGTATACGAAATAGATTGATAATAGTTTATGCAATATAGTTTGTGAATGAATATTAGAAGCATAAGGAGGACGCTGACCAATCAGATTCCTTGGGTCCAACAAATCTTAGGTGGACCCCGCCACTTCTTTTATTGCCCCACCATCCTACTCCTCGAAGCCTTCTGTATTCGCCACGTGCCCCTCCATCAACAAATCCCAACCACTACTTATGTTCCCGCTCCAGCAACTTCCTTTCGCCACACTCCAATGGTAACACTCAAACCCACGACAATCATCTTCGTTGCATATACTCTCTCAACTTTCAGTCTTTCACCTCCACAATGAACGGTTCCACCACCCTCAAACACCACTGTGTCACTTCCCTCAAAACCCTAACACCCCATATCACCTGCCTCGCGGTCCACCGAAACCTTCTCTACGCCGCATCCATCAACCTAATCAACGTCTTTGACCTCTCCCATTACACTTACATCGACGCATTCAACGATAGCCCCGCGTCAGGGTTCGTCAAGTCCATCGCGTTCAGCGGTTCAAGGGTCTTCACCGCTCATCAAGACTGCAAAATCCGCGTGTGGCTCATCACTCCCTCAAAACGACACCGTCTCCTTACCTCCCTCCCCACCGTAACCGACCGTTTGCGCCGCGGTATCATACCCAAAAACTACGTCAGCGTTCGACGCCACAAGACCAGGCTCTGGATCCAGCATTGCGACACCGTTTCGGGTTTAGCGGTGAACCAGAAGCTTATGTACTCGGTTTCGTGGGACAAAAGCTTTAAGATATGGGACTTGTCACGTTACCAGTGTTTGGAGTCCGTTAAGGCGCACGAAGACGCCATCAACGCCGTTGCTGTTAATGACGACGGCATCGTTTACACGGCGTCCGCGGATGGGTGCATCAAGGTTTGGAAGAGGGATGATGAGGTGAAACGGCACGCGTTGGTGAGCACCGTGGGGAAGCAGAAGTCAACGGTGAATGCGCTTGCATTGGATGGCGACGGCACGGCGTTGTTTTCTGGTGGTTGTGACGGGACGATCTGCCGGTGGGAGAGTAAGTGTGAGGAAAACGACGTCGTGAAGGTGGAAAAGTTAAGGGGTCATAGTGGGGCCATACTGTGTCTGATCCACGTGGCAGGTTTGTTGGTGAGTGGGTCAGCAGATTTGACGGTTAGGATATGGCAACGGGAAAGAGGAGGAGGAAGTAGTGGGTATTGTTGTAGGGTGGTGTTGGAAGGGCACGAGAAACCGGTTAAATCGTTGGTGGCATTTTCGGGTGGTGAAGGTAACTCAAACGGTGTCGTTACGGTCTTCAGTGGAAGCCTTGATGGGAATATTAAGGTGTGGGAGGTGTTTGGTTTTGTTTGAATTAATCTGCACAGTGCATACCAATTCCACCTTTTCAAAATTTAAAACACGATAGTAAGCTGGCTAGGTTGTATTTCTTACACTAACGTGGTGTGAGTTTGCTATATCAATACTTAGTCAAGTGCAGGCCACAAATTAAATATGCTGCCATCGGTAGTTTACACAACACCATATATAAAACCAATCTTCAAACCAGATTCCATGTGAAATACTTTATTAACTCCATACTAAAATGTGCTTAACTCCTTCATTAAATAAAAATTTCAAGTGTTTTTATTATATTTTTAAGAGACTAATTTAAGAAAGTTGTTGGGGTGGGGTGGAGGAGAAGAGGGGAATCATTTTCATTCCATTTTTTTAGCACTAATGTACAAAAGAATGTATATATATATATATATAAACTCGAAACCTATTGTTTATATTTAAATAATTCTAATATAATTTTATTATTTTACAAATTTTGATAAGATAATTTTTTGAACACACAATAATTATTCAAACTTTTAATATACTCAAAAAATTATATATTATTATGGTGAAAATTATAATATTTTTTTATGTTTATAATATATTTTTATCTAATTTTTAAGGTTTTTATTGCGAGATTTTAATGAATAAGCCTAGTTTCATATAATATATCCTTTATTCTTTCAAAGTTCACTTTAGTCTTCTTGATTTAGTTTGTTGCTGGAGAATTCATCAATCAATGCAACTTTTACTAAATTTATAAAAAAAATTAAAATTGTACTATCTGTTGATGGAGGTAAGGAAAAGAAAAGAAAAAACAAATTTGTACTACATATTATTTTTAAAAATTAAAAACTTTTTTTAAAAAGTACATCAAGCATAGTTTATTATTCAACACTTCTTATTATGGTAACATGCTTTTAACATATTTAATTATTTATAATTTTTATATAAAATTGTAAACCATCTCATATACAATTTTTACACAAGCAATTAGATTGCAAATTTCCTATTGACATATTGTTAAGATAAATAAGCAAAAGGTTATTATTCTAAATTACTTAAAGTATTTTCCATAAATATATATACTATTCAAGTTTATTGTTCATTGTTCTCTCTTTCTCTTAGATTGAACTAATTATTCTAAATCCTAGATTCAAAAAACGAAAAGGAATCAGGCAAAAATAAAATAAACTCGTGACATTGAAAAAATCTAATAAAAAAGAAGTACAAGTACATACAATTAAAAAGAAAAAGAAAAATAAGACATAAGATAGAAGTCTAAACTTAAAGTAAAATTCCAAAGAATTATCTTGATTTTCACTTACATTTAAAGAATTACATATTATGGTGATAAAAATTATAATGCATTTTAATATTTATAATAATTATTTATTTAAAAAAATTCTCACTATAAAACTTAAATTAATAAACTTAATTTAATTAAAAAAATGGCGCCAAAATAAATAAATTTCATGTCTAATAACTTCTATATAATATTTTTATGGACGTTCTTTTCTAAAATATATTATTATTTTTTTATCGTAGAAAATGCAAGTGCAGTCGTGCAGCCTACTTGTTTCTTAAAGAAGTCTTGTGTAAGTGGAATAAGGATAAGATGTTTATGCTATGGAACACCCATTTAATAAATTATTTATTTTAGTAAAAAAATTATACATTTAAAATATAATAGTAATTTTATCGAGAGTTGAGTTATAAAAAGGCCTATAATATTCCTAGAAACTCAATATTGATAAGATGAACGTTGTAATAAAAGTTGACTCTTAAAAAATTAGTAATATTAAGTTTTACATGGAATAACATAAAAAGTTCAAAATGGTTTTAAAATTAATAGATTTTTTTAATATATTAGTATTTTGGGTTGGACTTTTTTTTATATGAGTGGTATTTATTTATTTATTTTAGATTACAAGTATCATAAAACGTAAACAATTATATTTGAGCTTGATACAATTATTGTGAACGACAAAAATTAAACTCAAGCTCGATATTATAAATTAAGTTAAAACAATCTGAGTAATTAATTCACGTGTCTCGTATAGTAATAATATTTGAAAATACATAATAAAAGATTAATAATTAATAATTTTTTATTTTAAAATTTAACATTATTAATATATTAAATATTAATTTTTATGATATTTTATAATTTTTAATAAAATTTTATTATTTATATTTGTCATTGTGTATTATTCAACAGATGTTTAAAATTAATTAAAAAGTTTGTATTTTCTTGTAGTTAAAAGAAAATGTTGCGTTTATCTCGGTGCACTTGTCTATTCATTACAACAAAGGTGGTATTTCGATCCTCCGCTGCTCTCCCAGCTCCTCCTGCAGAAATATAGCTTATAATGATTCAAATTTGGATCTCAAAACATACAACTTTGCAGATTCAATTTTATACTTACAAGGGGTATTAATTTTTCACTTTGTTTTTATATAAAGTTTTCTAACCTTAGTTTTAAAAATTGATTTTAAATAATAAAAAATATTATTTATTATATTTCTAATACAATAATATTATATAATTTTAAGTAAAAAATATTATTAAAAATAATATTGAAAATCGAGTTTAACATTTTTATAGTTTTAGATTTATATAATTTTTATACAATATTATATAATTTTTTTAAAAATGGTTTGTTGGTAGCTTTATCTATTTATTTCCCTCCAAGCGAGTGTGAGTGTGGTGCGAACCCGCGAAGTCAAGGTTGTGGCGGTGAAGGCCGCAACGTATTGCTGTAATCTGTAATAATGGAGGAAGGCACCTTTGACTGCGTACGACTCTAGAACCCTTTCCTCCCTCCTCTTTTCTACCATTATTTTTATTTTCCTAAATACCTTTTTTCTTCGTTCAAATTGAGTACACAGGATATGATTCATTCCATTTTGAAGCGCGTTTGGACATTGCGAGCACTTGGTTCCACTCTCTTACTCTCTCCTAACTCTTCCTCCTTCTCCTTTCGCTCCCATTTTATGGAAGTCGCTAACTTTTTTCTATTGTTGTTTACATTTACAGAGCGTGAAAATGTTGAAGCTAACGATAATCCCGACTCCGAGGTTCTTCGAAAATTTCTCTCGTTTCGTTTCTAACCTTTGCGATATGTCGTTGGTTGAGCTGGTTGGTCTTTTGTTTGTGTTTGTTTCTTGACAATAATATTAATTTATGAATTCCCCTTTTGTTAAATTGTGCAAGTTTAGAACAATTCAATTGTTTGTTTTTGCGCTGTTATTTCCTACAATTACTTCACTGGATTTAAATATTATACCGTATTTCTAGAGCTATTTAGAAACCTTGCCAATCACGAGGTACATTTCTGTCCGTTTACTGTCCATGTTCTTGTTGGGACAAGTGAAGTGGCATAAGGATCAGTGTATAGTTAGGTTATGCATATCCATGGCCTATTATTGCCCTTATTAACATAAAGTACATGCCTAGTCTAACAGAAAATTGCTTCTTGCATGCATTTAAATCCCAATTTGTTTTTTCTTTGGCCACGATCCACTTATTAGCAGTGCAAGCTTACCTATGGTTCGCTTCCATCTTATTATATGCTGTGTTGATATTGTTCTATTGTTGTTTTGCACATTAAGAACCATTGGCTAAGTCTTGCTTGCGAGGTTTTTCAATTTCAACCACTTTATGGCCTACAAGATCCCCACATATCATCTTTCAGTCCTTGTAGATTTGCTGCATAATAGTATGTAGTTCGCAAAATTCTATTAAATTGGTTACTCTTGATCACATCCTTGAAGAACCTTCAACTTGAAACGCTGAACATATACATCTGAATGGCCTAAAAAATTCAGAGTAGGGCATGTGCTAACAGGTTAAGAAATTTGCGTGGCCTCTAAACATTCAGTGTTAATTGTTGTGCATTTTTATAAATGCAAGGGAGCTTTGTGTTGATTTTTGTAATAGATGAGAGATCTGTGTAGCAAACATGAAATACAAGAGAGTGCATAATTATTTACAATATGTCACATTCGAATGTTGTGCTTCCTTCTCAAAATGTTTGGTAATGGAAATGGTTCTGACTCTTTCCCTTTCAATTTCTTTTCGTTACTATTTTGGTTTTGCTACATCTATTTCCATGTTAAGATGGTTTTCGAACTATTTCTAGCAAATAATATGATTTTCAAAGTAAATATTGTAATCATTAACTGACTTGGTGACATCAACAGCAATGACATCCTCTCTAGGACCTACATCCTCTAATATTTTAGCTCTACTTCAAACTACATATTTCTCTTAACTGTCGAATTGCATGCCAATAATCTGCAATGGGTTTTGCTGCTACAGGCCGGAATTGGAACATCCAGGAAGAATCGGCCAACTTCTGGTACTTATGCCATGTATCCATTATTATATCGTTCTGTTGATAGATTACTTATTTGGTGGAGGTTCTGTGACTAACTCACACTATAGTTGTGTGGTATTGCAAATTGAACACTTGCAAGTTACTCATTTCTCCTTTTTTTATGTTCCAGCTAATGCCAATGCTGTGAGGCTTACCAGTGAACTTCTCCGGGTTTTTATCACAGGTTCATCTATCCTAAAAGAGAAACAGTTTGTGCTTGGTCATGGTTACAACACATTCTTTATCATCTTGACAAAAACCTTTCTGTTTGTGCAGAGGCTGTTCAACGGGCTGCTGCTATTGCAGAAGCAGAGGGTGCTAATCAAATAGAAGCTAGTCATTTGGAGATTATTCTTCCTCAGTTACTTTTAGATTTCTAAAGCATTTGAACTACTTAAATGTAACTTCTACTTCTCCCTGTCATCAATGAAGTAGAAAGCTCATTAAGGTTTGTTGGTGAGAAGCTATATCAAATACAACTAATTTGTCCAGGAACATAGAAAGAGAAAAGGGCTGGGGTGAGAACTGTGGTGTACCTTCACTCATTTCTTTCTATTGCTTAAGTGCTTTCTAACTTGTATTGCTGATTAATTAAGCGAAAGCAAATAAGATTTTCTTGTGCTCATATAAGACAATGATAATAATCGAATGATTTTTAGGATCAAATACCTAAGCGACAGCAAGTAAGATTTTCATGTGGTTATACAAGACAATGATGATACTCAAATGAGTTTTAGGATCAAATACCTAATCGCAGTCCAAGCTAGCGGTTCTAACTTCTATATTCAACTAGACGTAGATTATATTATAGTGCACTTTTTATATTCAACATAAATTAAATCAGTCAAAATATCAAGAATATTTTTGGTATAAACGTGCGTCAGTAAATAGAAGGGACTGACACTTAACTTTCCCTTTTTATTTTCAAGAACGACAGACTTACCCAGAAAATGTTTTAGTGGAATATTCTGTTTCAAGGCTTAAAATGCTTAGGTACAGCTTTTGTTGGCTGCAGATAGGATCTAATCTAGCGGAACATGCTAGTTCAATAGTGTCAATAATTCATCGGTGAATTTGTTTTGAGTTACATCGTACTCGATCACGACAAATGTGCAGCAATACAGGTTCTAAAACCGTTGCTTCTAAACCATCTATAATAGCATAGTTAAGGAAAAACTGAGCTAATATAGAATAACTCTTGTCCGAAACGACCTACATCGCCTTTCTGTTACAGCATCAATTGCATGAGAGAAGTTTTGTCATAGCACCTTTTGCCCTTATTTGGAGCTTCAGTTGCTGTTTCTGATTAGAACATTATGCCTAGCTAATTCCACTTGTTCAATAACTGCAAATGCTAAAAATATTAATTTTCAGGACCAATACTAAGTGCAAGCTAGCAGTTCTATATTCGCATATGCATAGGAACAATAATATTCAAATATTATAGTTCCTCGTATGACGTATCCCATTGACTATAAGCTTTGTATCAATTGCTTGCTTAGGATTCTCAGAATAATCACGATTCACGGCAATTTTGTTCCAATGGCAGCCAATATCTAATTCTACGTTACTCTTTTGATGACCTTGATTCAGCACATTTTGCTGACTTTCATTCTTTATATATTCATAGACAAGGTAGTCGGAATCGGACTTGGACAAACGAGGAAGTTTATTGGCTTCTTCAGCCAATTCCGCTGCAATGAAAATATGAACCAATTAACATACGCTTTCCTTTCTGTGTATGTTGGTGGTATGGTTCCTATAATTTCCAAGTATGTGAAAGATTGAAATTCTTTGAATCTTTGCTCAACCCAATCCAAAGTACAGTTCCATTTGATCTAATTGACCAATGAATCAGTGAGATAAACACATAGAAACACAACCTGATTTGGGATTTGTTTGAAGTGATTGAGTCAACTAAAGCTAAAGGTAGAGTTGATCCATAATAAGCATTGTTCTTTTATTATAACTATTAACTAATGCCAGGTGGTAGATTGATTATTCCTATTGCTAATTCATCTCAAGATTTAAAGGTTGTGAATGTGAAGATGAGAACTACGATGGTTCTATCCACTGAGACTACTCTTCGATATAACACTTTAAGCCTCTCTCTAGTTTATCATTTTTTGTAAGTGACTTCCGAAATACTGAAATTTTATGTCCGAAAATGTGTGGTGTGATTAGTGAAAAAATGCAAAAAACAATTATCCAAACATAGTTGATTCTCTTTTTATTTTTATTTTAAAGTTTTATTAACTTCAGCCTTTAAAATTAAGTTTAAAAATTTATAAATAAATTTTTTTAATAAAAAAATACACAGTTATTGTATTTAAGTTATAAAAATATAATAAATATTTTTTTAATAAAATTTTATTATTATTAATTGTTTATCCTCGTTCTCAAGAATTAAGTTTAACAAAATTCATTATTTTATATCAAATAGTTGATCCTCAAACAAGAGAAAGGCTATGTGAAAAAGCCCAAATAAAATCACGGCAAGCCCATTCGATCTTTGAAGTCCAAATATAAGCCCATAAGACCCAACTCAATTGGAATGGAGTGAGCGTGAGAAGGAAAATACGAGAAAGATGCCACAACGGAACTGCAACACCAACATGGAATATATGTAGCTGTTCCATTTACAGCATCATTCTAAGTCTGACTCCAAACCCAGTTGGTCCATCATCACCGTTCTAAACCCTAATTTCATCACGGGAAACGCTATCTACTCGAGGATGGAGGTAACCCTCTTTCCCTTTATTGGTTCACAGAAACGCCTATCTCTCTCTCTCGTTTATATTGTTCTGAACGCTGATCTTTTACCTTAGCAACTAAATATAGAAATTATGAATTTGTTTTCATCATTCATCCTCATTATATCATCAATTTGTTTTCGAATATGTATTTGTAAAGGGTCCTTTGGGTGGTATGTAACCTGGTTCTATTTGGTCAACATTGGCTGAACAAACTGGACCGTTTTTCTTACAGTTGAAGGGCTAATCTCTCAACCAGCCATATCTAGAGTGATCGTTGTCGATCCATATAACTTGGATATCAATACTTAATTGTTTTGTGCTTGTTTTCACTTTTCTGACCATAAATTTAGACTTTGATTGGGTTAAGAGGATAAAAGGAATAATGGAACTAACTTGTTCATGTTTTCTTATCACGTCCTCCTATTTTTTCTAATATTTAAAACCAAACTGAATATAGTTTTCCAAAAAATGCAGCAATTCTGGTCTGGGAGTGCCATCAATGAAAACAAAGGGATGGTAGATAATTTGCAGCGTTATGGAATAATCTCCTCTAGAAAGGTTGGTGAAGTAATGGAAACCATTGATAGAGCTTTGTTTGTACCCAATGGAGCCCAACCTTATGTTGACAGTCCCATGCCGATAGGCTACAATGCCACTATATCTGCACCGCATATGCATGCTACCTGCCTTCAGTTGCTGGAGGATAAATTGCAACCAGGGATGCGTGCTCTGGATGTTGGCTCTGGTATAGTCCATGAAATGAACTATTTATGATTGTTTTCTGCTAATTTATTCTGGTGTAAGTGAAATGGGAAAAGCTTATTGATTAGGTAACAAATTTATTCCACTATTGCGTGTGTTTGATTTGGTGAAGACAAAATGTTGAAGATACTATGCCATGCTTGAAGAAATTGATTGCTAATATTGATGTTAGTGTTTACACTTGTTGATAAAAGGTACGATAATAAGGGAGTGCAGAATATATTGGATTGTTGATATACTTCTTTGATGGTGTTATAGAAGGATGGCATGAAAATCTTATAATATAAAACCTTGTTTTAATCTTATAATATAAAACTTTGACTGTTTCGATGTGGAAATTTTGTACATTCCAGGATGCGCTATATAGAACTAAATGATGTTTTACACTTCTATTTAACAGGAATTCACTGCATTTGTACTCCGTATTATTTGCATTTGATGCTCACAATTCCCTTACTATGGGCCTCTTTGCAGGAACAGGGTACCTGACTGCATGCTTTGCCTTGATGGTTGGACCCCAAGGCCATGCTATTGGTGTGGAACATATTCCTGAATTGGTTTCTTTTTCAATTGAGAATATTAAAAAAAGTGCTGCAGCTCAACCTTTGAAAGACGGTTCCCTTTCTGTGCATGTTGGTGGTATGGTTTCTATGATTTCTGTGAAATTAAAACATTGAAATCTTTTAATTTTTGCGAAACAAAAATATAATTCTGTGTGATGTAATTGCACAACTAAAACTCTGGTCTATAGTGATAACTGCCCAGTTTTATTAGTATTTCTTGAGCAGTTAAATAATGCTGGTGGGTCAATAATTTCAAATGTTTGAGTAACTGTTGTGTTAACAGATGGAAGGCAAGGTTGGCCTGAGTTTGCTGCTTATGATGCCATTCACGTTGGAGCAGCGGCATCAGAAATTCCCCAACCACTTATTGAGCAGTTGAAGGCGGGTGGTAGAATGGTTATTCCTGTTGGAAACCTATTTCAAGATTTAAAGGTGGTGGATAAGAACTCTGATGGTTCTATCAGTATCAGGACTGAGACTTCTGTTCGCTATGTTCCTCTCACTAGCAGAGAAGCTCAACTGCGAGATTAGGGAACTGCAAGTCTCAATTGCTGCGTTTCTGTACCACGTGCTGTAAGAATTTGTATAGTTAAAGTTGGCATTCTTTTCTTACTAAAAAACAAAAATATTAATGTTGATCATGCGGAGTATTAGTAATAATTATACCATAAATATTCGCGTCGGTTGTCTGAAATATGAATCTATTTTTTCGGTTTATCTATAACACTTTTTATGTTGATGAATATTTTGATATTTTTATGTAGGCAAGGTTGGTTTGTGATTATTTAAAATAATGGCATGAAATAATTAAATTAAATATATTATTTAAAAAGCTGGTAATTGGTAAAAATAATTTCGTGAAATAAGAAATTTTTAGTGGAATTTCTTTATGATAAAAGAAAAGAAATTAAAAAAATGGACAACTTCGACTTAAGGATGATTATTTTGGATAGTTGTGTTATCTAGTTATTAGTGTTTCATTACTTTTAGAGCTTTTATTTTTAAGAAATTGCTATTTGATTAATATTACATATATCAATATAATTATATTTTACGCACTACTTACTGGTTGATATCTTAATTTTCAAAAAAAATTGTCATATCACATCGCATTATATCCATTATTCACCTAATCAAATATGGCATTAATGATAATTGATAATGTTTAGGTGGGAGAATAAAGCATGTATTACTAAATCTGATACATACTTGTCTGTGCAGCTTAATCTAGACTTTCGTTACGCGCTTCTGTGAAGAGTCATGCATGTGTGTTTGCCTGTTCGGCATTGGTTTTCTCAAATTTGTAATAATCCTCTTTCATGAAACCTAACAGTCAAGCTGTACGGTCCTCTGTATTTCACGTTATAAGTTTTAATCTGTTTTAGAGAAATGTACCAGCACGTTAAATTATCCTTGCGTGCCTTACACAAGTGAGAATAATTACTATTAGACTGATTTAATGCATGTTTAGGTGAGTATTTATAAAGTTGAGCTTAAATGAACTTGATTATGTGATTGATTTTATTTAAAAGTGAATTTAATGTGATTTATATTGCGATTTTTTAAAAGTATATTCGTAGTAATTTTAAAAGAATTTTTTAATTCAACTAATTTTATTTTTTTTCAAATATCACGTTAGTTTAAACGTGAATTTGAAAGTAAAACTAATTTTAATCGAGAACAACTGAATATTTATATATATATATATATATATATATATATATATATATATATATTATAATAAAAAAACATAGTTTTATAAAGATTTAAGGTGCATCTAAACATGCACTTAGTAACATATTTAGTTCCTTGTTGGGATTATTATTATGAAAAACACATTTAGATAATAACATTGTTTAGGTCAACTATCAACTATGCACACAATTTCTAATTCTAGTAGGGAGAGTTTCCATGTCAAATGCAAGAATTCGATAACAAAGGGAGATAACTGGCAGATTTTTCTGCGCTTGTAACATGAGATCAGATCTTGAAATCATCATCGTATCGAGTCTTAAAAAATATTCAGTCAATTCTAAGTTCAGTAAATTTCATTTCTGTCTTCTTGAGATCTTTTCTGTGAGGACCTAATCTGTGAAACACGCTTTCACATTCAAAAAAATAAATATATAAAAGCGAAAAAAATAGGGAATTTAAAATAATACGTATGAAATCCAATGAAAAAATTCATTATTACAGTAGAAGAACTAAATTTTAAAATTATATGGACAACTTAAAAATAGATCGTGTCTTTAATTGAAGGAGATCAGAATATGAAATTGTCATATAAAAGTTCCTAGGCGGACTTGAAATTTTGGCACCAGGTGTAGTTTTAAACTACACTTGTCATTTGCAGGTTGAAAACCACTTGAACAAGTGGGTGAACCATTAAAAGTACGTTTGGATACACTGCTTATTTAATATATATATTTCTAAATAATGACTTATTCTTTACGTCATAAATTTAATAATAAAACTTATTATAATAAGCTGAAAAACATATTATTAGAATAAACAAACTGTTCTTAAGCTCTTCCAAGACGACCCTAAAAACAATTCTTTGCCGACTCCATTACTCCTGTACTAGGTGATGTTCAGAATCATAGCTTTATGTTTTAGTGCCGTATAAGTAGCCAGATAATTTGTGGGGAGAAAAGCGCTAAGAGACCATTTCAATAATTTTGTTCATCCATAGCAAACAAAATGGTTAAATAAAAATCAAAAGGATTTCTCAAAATCGCTAGAGTTGTAATTGTAACTTAATCATTTTCATCTGGACATCAAATAACCTTAAAATAGCCAAATCTAATCCGAAACCAGCTGCCAAAGAAGGTAAAAAAATTTGACACTATTTACTCAGCCATTCAAAAGGAACTCAATCAGCAGACATGGAAGATTACTTGAATTACCACTCAAAAGGAGCTACGTCTGGACCTGTCCTCTGCAACATTAACTCTTATTGCCCTGCCGTCCAAGTTCTGCAATATCAGAACCAAACAATTAACCACACAAGTAGTCCTTGTAATGATGCAAACTTTAATACAGAATAAGAGGCAATTTCAGTAAATGGATCCCATGCAGTTTTCATGGGAACCGCAGACCGCAGTTCTCCTTTCTTCTCTGTCTTCACTCTTCGTCCCAGCCGTTGATCTCCTTCTTCTCCACCTTTTTCCCATCTTCTCCAGTTTACCCCTCCTAACCTCCCTCCCCTTCCCCATCTCTTTTTCCTTCAGCCCTATTCAGTCTCTTTTTTCCTCTCTTTTCATCTAGCTCTCCTCCCCTCCCTTCCCTTTCACCCCCACTCATCCTCCTCTCCTTATCTTCTCATCCAGCCTTTTTTTCTTCTCCCTATTAGCCTTCTCCTGTTCTCCCTCTCCCTTGTGCTCTCGCTCTCATCTCTTTTTCAGCCTCTCTTTCTCTTTTCTTCTCCTGGTTTTTTTTTCACTCTTTCTGACTTAAGCTAAATTCGCTTAAGTGAATTTTTCTTACTTAAGCGAAATTAATTTAAGCAGATTTTTTTTACTTAAGCAAAAATCACTTTTTGTCAAATTTAGTTTAAATGAGTTTTTTTGACTTAAGCCAAAATTAAGCAAATTTTGTTTCACTTAAGCAAATGTAAACTACAGGCTGCAGTTTTCTCCAAAACTGCAGAGGATCCGGATCCGCAATGTCATAAGTTGGCCGTTTAAAACATTGTAACACTAGCCTATGGCAATCTTGTTGCCTTCACCTTTCAGCACATTTAATTACCAAGGCATGTTAATGTTTACCAATGATCAAGTAATGAGGTACTTCTGTGTTACCTGACCATCAAGAGCAGCAATGGCATCATTCATATCAGCCTCACTGGACATTGTGACAAAGCCAAAACCACGTGATCGACCAGTCTCTCTGTCATAGACTACCCGAGCATTCTCAACCTTACCATGTTCACTGAAAATTTGCTCCAGGCGAGCATTGTCAACATCCCACGGCAAGTTGCCAACGTAGACTCTTAAAGCAGAACCAAAGGCCCGTGAAGAGCGTTCAGGCTGCGCTCCTCTTGGAGCTGCCTTATTAACAGTCAACAATCTTCCATCTAGCTCCTGTCACATAAAAGATAGATAAGATCCAAAACAACTCAAGAAACCCCAATAAAAGCAATTGAAGAAGAAAATTAATACACATGACTTTTTCCAATAAAGGACATGTCACATGCAAGAAACATTACAACTGGGAAAAAGAAAAAAGACAGAACATCTTTATACATGCGGAAAAGTTTCCATATTCATACAAAGTCTGATAAGAGCAAAATTCATAAGATTCAGTTTTATGCCGTTCTGTGAAAATAAAAGTATAATATTCCAAAGACGATTTCATGGTGGGAACAGTTATAAGTTGAGTAACGCTTTGATATTAACAGATATGACATCTATTCTTCTTAAAGAAATAAATGGAGATGCTGAAAAAATAAGTGTTGCAGGTTCAAAGGAACTGAAGAGATGCTACTTAAAAAGTTTGGCAGTCTACATGAAAGAAAATATCAAACTATTTGATCGATATGCTCATCTTCCTCTTCATAGTTTGTCCCCAAGTTTTCTACTAGTTGGGGAGAGCAGGTGATTGCTAGTAATGTACAACTAGCTTGCAATTTGGGATCAATAACATAACAACCCTGTACACATTTGTTCACACTTTTACATTAGAATTTTAACATTGACAATTAGCAACATCAACAGGTCACATTGGAGCGGAATGGAATGGAATGATCTTAGGTTCCATTGTTCGGATAGTTTAAGATAAGATGGAATAGGGTAGAACATATTGGCGTGCATTCCATCCCATTCTTTCCATTACCCCTCATTTTCTACCCCTTCAATTTGGAGCATATGAGATGGAACCATTCTTTGTTCCACTCTAATAACTCACCACATTTGATCATAATTACAATCCCTTCTCACTTAAGTCACAAAAATACAAAATAAAAGCTAAGAACTTACATAGCCACTGAACATATCCACAGCCTTCTCAACCTCTTCCATGGTACTCATGGTAACAAATCCAAACCCGCGACTTCGGTCAGTGACCCTACTATAAATGACCTGAAATCAGACACACATGGGAATGGAAACACACTCAAACATTGAAAAATCCAAACCTCAAAAAAAACAGCATGACATAACAAGAACTCACCTCAGCAACCTCGACGGTGCCAGCCTGCTCAAAGAGCGATGCCAATTTCTCACTGTCAACATCAAAAGGCAAGTTTCCAACAAATATTTTGACTTCATCAGATGGTTGAGCAAAACTCTCTTCCCCAAAAGCCCCATCTTCACTACCCTCTACTTCCCCTTCACTACCTTCAATTTCATCAACATCTTCAGTTCCCCACGTGGGGTCACCTTGATTCTCCCACGCGCTTCCTTCACCGTCTTCTTCTTCTTCTTGTTGGGCCCAATCTGATGTCTGGGCCACGAATGTAAGGGGAGAGGAATGGCGGGTTGGGGTGGTAGTGAGGGAAAAGAGTGAGGAGTGAGAGCGTGAAAGTTGGAGTTTGAGGGGCTTAGAAGGAATTGAGAAAAAAGGGTATTTGGTTTTGGTGTGAAAGAGTGAAGGTAGAGAAAGAAGGCATGATTCTGCAACTGTGAGGGATTTGAACGCAGCCATGGTTGGGATGAGAGACATTAGAGGCAGAGGAAGTGGAGGGTTTAGGACATCACAACACAATGGTTGGAGTTGAGTTGAAGATAAGGGGTAGAATTGAACTCAAACAAGGAAAGGGTTTTGGTGCCACGCGCATGCAATCAAAGAGTAATTTTAAATCTTTTTTTTTTTGTTTAAATAAAAAATATTTTAAAATATTATTATGTTTTTAAGATAATAAAAAAGATTAAAAATATTATAAGAAAATATTACAGAGCTCGTAGCTAACATATTGGAGATCTATATTCAGATATTTTTTTTCTTTTAATATAAAACTTTGTGGGCATCTTTATCTTTTAAAATTAAAATTAAAATTTTATCTCAATAATTTATATTAATGTGTAAACCAACCTTTTATTATTTTCTTAAAATTAATTAAAATAAGTTTTTTTATATTTTCATTTAATAATAAATTTTTTAATCAGTAAAAAATATTAACTTTTATAACGATTAATTTTATATTTAGTATCTATTTTAATTAGTTGATGACGTAATTTTTTAATATTAATAATATATTAAAATTAAATACTGTCATATAAATTATTAAAGTGAATTTTTAATTAAAAATATTTAAAGTATTCTATTTTAAAAATATAAATCTTTTTACATCTCATTTTGAGGTTTGATATAAATGAACAAATAATTAAAAAAGCATAACAAATAATATAACAGAAACACTAAATTATATATACCGGTTATTATTATTTTTTATCAATTAAATTTTGTTAATGACTTCAGTTTATAAACATTCCAACAATTTCTACACCCATTGGACACCCTTCAATTTTTTTTATCCCTCTCTTTCTGTCATTTATTATTATTATTATTATTATTATTATTATTATTATTATTTATCACGATATCTACAAAATAACTTTGAATTGTTTGTTACGATTTATCGTATTGGTTGTGCTGGGCTTTCGATTTCAATGTGGCTTAAATGAATCTATTAAATGTTTGAGGTGCGAAGAGCATGTTTATTTTGTGCTCACAATCAAGCATATAATAATCACTCATAAATAAATAAATAAATATTTAAAATAAAATAATAATTGTACAAAAAATATATATATATGAAAAACGTTAATAATAAACATCCTTAATCTTCCTACTCAAATTATGTAACGTCTTACTCAAATTTTACTTGTGCAAAAACGTTAATCTTTTTTAAACATCCTTAATTTTATGGATGACAATGGATAGAGTACTATAGTACACATTCCTATACCTGCGTTTTAAAAAAATACTCGTACCCGACCTTATATCTACGTGGGTATACTCGTACCCGACCTTATATCTGTGTGGGTATGAACATTAATCTCTATACTCGTACTCTCTGGATACCTGTATACCCATCTTATACCTATTATCCGCGCTTGTTTGAGGAAAAAAATATTTATAAAGAAAAATATGTTTATATAACTTCACATAAATAGCATAATAATACAAAAATTCAATATGTAGTTGCCAAATAAGATACAAACATAGATAAAAAATAAATATTCAAAGATCATAAATGCTAAATGTATATATCTTAATATAATAATTTTCTAAAATAAAATTCTTAGAAACAATAAGCGAAACTGAACACACAAGTTATTTGTCAATGATAATCTTATCTTGTGTGAGATTTGATCAATTGACAATGTCAAAACAACAACAAAATATATTTGCACAATGATTGTCCCTTTCTGTGGGATCATTTGGTGACCTCTTGTGACGGCATTGACAACTAACTCTAATAAATAACATTTCATAGTTGTTAGATTTTAATGAGATAGACATTGAGAATAAGAATAGAGTTAGAGTAGAGAAATTTAATACTAACAACAGAAAGTGGATACATAAAATATTTTTTTTAACTTTTAAATTTGAAATTGTAAGAAAAATAATAGATTTAATTAAACTAATATAATATATATATATATATATATATATATTAATACTAGTATTTTTTAACTCATATATTATACGAAAGTATTTTATCAAAAATATAAATTTTTAAAAAATTATTTTAATGAATTAAATATTTATAATGTATATAAATTTAAAAAAATTTGAATAAAAGATAAATAGTCACAATAAAATTTTATAATAAAAAATATATGTGTATATTAAAACAATTAATAAATAAAAATTAACAATAATTTTTTATATTTATATCTTTTCAAAAACTTCTTTGAACGTGAATAAATAGTAATAATAATATTATTTAGATTTAATAAATTATAGTTGTACTTGTAATACATATGTTGCATAAAAAAATATTATTTTAAATTCAAATATAAAAAATAAAATTTAAATATTATTAAATAAATAATAAATTTACAGTAATAGTAGGTGATTGTAAAATTTATAAAATATTTATAATATATTTATTATTTATCATTCACTTTATAATTTAAACGTTAATATAATTTTATTAACAAAAATATTTGTGTGAAAAATATTTTATGTGTCATATATAAATAATATTTTAAAAAAATTTAATCTCATATTAACTATATAATAATTAAATTGTATTAGTCTAATTAAATGATATGAAAGAAGTAAATAAATTTTTTATTAAAAATATAAACCAAAATAAAATTTTTGATTTACTTTATTATTAAATATATTTTTATATTAATCTTATATAACTTTACATAAGTAATATAATAATACAAAATTTAATGCATAATTGTAAAATAAAGTTCAAGCATATATATATGTGAGCATGGGGCGGGGTGGATACTTAGATACCCATACTCGCACCCATCTCTATTAAAATTTGCGATTTTTTATCCACACCAGTATCCGTACTCATATAGCAAGTAAATACTCGAGTAAACTTTGCGAGTATACATCGAATACTTTATCCATTGTCATCTCTACTTAATTTCACGGTACTCAATAATTAGTTTTTTTTTTTTTTATACAATAAGACTTGAATTGTTAAACCATAATATAAAAAAATTGGACTGATACACTATTTGATTAATGTATAATTATAAGTACAATCAATTTAATACATTAGAATACTGTATCCACTCGAGTTATGTACATAAACACTATTTCACTATTCTATTTATGATCTAAAATTATTGTCTCCAATTCGAGCAATGCATTTTTTAGCATAAGCCTTTTAGCCAGATTCTTACGCAAGCGCCAAGCGGTCAGGTATGTTCTCTCGATGATTCTGAAAAATAATATTGAAAAAGAATGAAAACAACAGTGTATAGATGAGGAAAAAAACATAAAATTTCTACAAAAAAAAATTGAAATTAATTTTAAACCAAGGTTTTCATGAGAAATTTTATTTTGAAACAGCAAGTGTTCATAAAATAAAAAGACGGTAGGTAAAATAACAAGTAAGAAAATGGGAGTTAAATATACAATTTTATTTTTAAAACACTAAATCACAATTAAATCAATAAATCATATGCATCGGATACTTTAAATTAAAGCTCTAGAGAAAGAATGGGCATTTATGAAAACATAAATTGGAGGTAAAATATTTTTCTCTTTTATCTTACGATAAATTTAAGGTATACAATTTTTCATTCCTAAGTGTATATTTTTCTTTGACAAATATATGTTGCAACAAAAATTTTGGTCTAAGTAACACTGTAGTCTAATTTCAAGTGTAAACAAATAAGCATCATTTTATCCGTCTGTATATATATTAAGGAGAGAATTTTAAATATTTATTTATATTTAGACACTTTTTGAGAATAATTGTCAAATATGTTATAAATTATCATGCATATATTACATACATGAGATATATTTTTTTACACAGACAATTATAGTATCAAGTGTATTTAGTAAATAATACCGCTTATAAAGAGAGTAAATTTTTTTGGATTAAATATGTAATCTTAGGGCTTTGAAAGTACTACTTAACTCGAGTTTTTATACAAAATATTGGTACGATCTATAAAAATTAGTAAAACTATTTTTAGAATTATTACATAAAATATTTCTTATTAATCAAAAATATTACAAGACAACTAAGAGTTTTCTTAGCCTAAATATGAAAAAGTATCTAGATAAAACTTTGAAGTTTATCTTAGGCTATGTCAGAGTTCATTTGACTAAAAAGACTTTGATGTTTACTTCAACTTAGGTCAAAGTCCATCTCAACCAAGGATCAAGGTTCACCTTGTTTAAGGCTCACTTAGACTTTAGACTCACCTCGACAAATTTTCATTCCAACCAAGGATTGAAGAACACCTCATAAAAGCTTTAGGTTCAACTTGTCTTAGGCCAAAGTCTATCTTGACTTAAGCTCAAAATTTACCTTGACCAGTTTTCATAACCAATGTGTGAATAACATCAAAATTACCTTATGTTTCATCTCAAATAAGGTTTGAAGAGCACTCTAGAAAGGCGTTGAGGTTCACCATGTAACATCCTAATTCTCAGTATCTTTGATTTGTTAAATTTTGACAAAACTTTGGTCAAAATTTTTTAAAAATTAAATTATTAGAAATTAGTTAAAATGACTTTAGAGTTTTATATTCATTAGAGAATTTGTGATTTTCTGAAATTTTTAGAAAATACTCAAAATTGGCCTATTTTGTGGGCATCTTAGCAAAAAAAAAATTCAAACTGAATCTGATTATATAGCAAACAAAGTCGTAAAATTTTAAAAAATTTACAAGAGCCTAATAATATTAGAAAGATCTTGAAAAGTAAATTCTTACAATGAAATTTGATAAATTTTAAAATTCTATTTTGCAGCCGTCTAATTATCAGACAAAAAACGAACCGATCTAAAAGCAATTTGAGTGAATTAAAATTTTAGTTACTATCCCAGTATTATTCTAAATATTCTACCACCTTGTTTTTAAAATTTTCCTTACCTATTAAACTGAAAAAAATTTACATTTGCAAAAGTGTAATTTTTAAGTTAAAAAAAATTATAAAATAATTAAATTTTTACTTTAAAAGTGATTAAGAGAGAGAAGATGCATGAAAAATATTTTTCTTCTCCAACAAGCTTCCCGTAAGTTCTTTTCTCTATTTTTCTCTCAAATACTCTCACTTTCA